TGTGATAGAGATTTCATTCATACCGACCACCTTGTAATCGTCTCCTTAAAGTTCAGGATTCGAGGCAATGGATTCAATGATTCGGAGTGCCTCAGTTTCATTCTTGTTCCCAATATAGCCCTCGGCTCGGTTGTCCACAATGGCTTGACAATGTGCATTCAAACCATTGTAGAACGTGTCAATTTGAAGGTCTAGGGGAATGCAGTGATGTGGGCATTCCCTTAGCAGTGATTTGAAATGCCGCCATGCATCTTGAAAGAGCTCACCATTTTGTTGTTTGAAATTGAAAATGTGTTGTCTAAACTCTTGAGTCATAGTGGGAGTGTAGTATTTAGACATGAAGGCATTGTATATACCTTCCCATGTTGTGTAGCTTGCCGAAGCTTGCTCTAGGAACCATCCTCTTGCTGCCCCTTTGAGAGTATAGGAGAAGCATTTGAGCTTGAGATCGTATTCGGCTAGCTTTTTCCTTTGAATCCCTTGAATGTATCCATAGAACTCCGTGATAAAGTTCAGTGGATTCTCCCCCGAGTGACCATGAAACTGAGGCATAGCATTAAAGTAACTTTGCTTTAGTTCATAGTTCCTCGCATCTTCGCTTAGCACAATGCAAGAGGGGGAGGTTGCAACAACGGGCCTCTTCCGTTCGTTGAGTGTGTGCATCATCTTTGTGGCTTTTTGCTCCTTCCAAATGTGTTTACAAGTTTTTCTTATTTCAAGATCACGTGGTTCAAGAAATTTAGAACCTCGACTTCTCAAATGCATGCAAACACAAAGGAATATCTACACACAAAAACAAACCCTTCCAAGATCAAGTGAAGTTGTGAAATAAAATAAAATTCAGATTTTTGATTGATTGATCGTTTGGACGTTATTAAACAAGACCATTTCCTCGGCAACAACGCCAAAAACTTGACCGGGCTAAACTTGCAAGTGTACAAGTGCCGATATAGTAACAAATTCCGGTAAAATACCGGGTCGAATCCACAGGGAAACATTGTTTAATTCAAGTCCGAGAGTAGATAACTTTAAATATTGAAATGAGTAAAGTGCAAGGATTTTGAGTTGTGTTTTATGTTTTTGGCTTTTCACTTTTAATTCAGGGAAATAACTTTAATTAATTCGGATTTAAGATGAATGATAACAACGGCTAAGGCTTCGGGAATCACTTAAATGCTTTAATAGGGTTGAATATTAGTTCTTTACCAATAATTATGAATACGATGTCGCTAATATATTCTCAACTCCAGTTAAGGCAGCGAGAGCGTGGTTTTCGTTACGTGTTAGTCCCGTTACGGCTTACATTCATCTACCGAAAACCCCGTTGAATATCAAGACATCACACCCGTATCATATAATACCGGATATATTTCTATTCTCGGTAATATATATGTTTATCCTTTAATGTTCATAGTTTAGACCTCAACGTTAATTGCAAGCATAAACTAAGTTTAACATACTTCTATGTTGTACACCATAGTCATAAACAATCAAAATGTAAAGGATAAATCACAGTTTATTGGTTTAGAACTTTTATCAAACACCTAATGGGCATAGAAGTTCATCCCTAGCCTTAGCTAAGAAATTAGCCTCTAATGCTCATATTGATCACAATACAATATTGAAATGTAATGGAACATGAAATTACAAAGGAAATAATACCTAAACACCAATGGTTTCGGAGGTTGAAGTTTCCTCCTCAAGAACTTGAAGAAAAAGAGCAAGACCAAATTATAAAGATTAAGAATTAATCTATGGAATGGAATGTGTTTAAATGATTTTAGAGAATATATTCAGAATTGTGAGCTATTAGATCTACCTTTTCATGGCAGTCCCTTTACTTGGCATGGTAAAAGATCCAATGGTAGACTCTGGCGCAGGTTAGATAGAGTCCTTTTCAATTCACCTTTTCTCGATATCTTTGACTCTATTCAAATCAATCATTTGAATAAGGCTTCTTCAGATCATGCTCCTATCCTGATTCAGTGCAAAAATTAATCAATTAAGGGGCCCAAATCGTTTAGATTCCAAAACATATGGATCTCTAATCCACATTTTCATGATGTTGTGAAGAATGCTTGGACCACATGCAAGTCAGGGGGTGGTATGAGAGGTTTGTACGACAAACTTCAATATCTCAAAAAGGTGCTCAAGGAATGGAATAAAAATGTTTTTGGAAATCTTTTTGATGATATTTTAAAGTTGGAAGAATCTGTCACCAAGGCAGAATGTTTATATGAGTCAGATCCATCTGAAACTAACAGAGAGAACTGGTCTTTTCAACAAGCTTTGCATTTTATTATTATGACATGTGCATTTTGGAAGTCCGTATATTGCACTTTAGTAAGATGCATAATTTATATTAACTTCTAACATATAAATTTGTAAGAAGTGAACACATGTAAAAGTGTCTGCATATTAAAGTTATAGAACGTGCATACTAAGGTTAATTGATGTGCATCTTATGGTTACGAGATATGCATTATATATTTATAATACCCTCCTAACTTATATTAGAACTATATAGTCATAAACATGTCAACGCTGCATTATAGTAGTCCACATCTTGAATTTTATCATTATAACATGTGCGATTTAGAAGATTGTGTATTGCACTCTATTAGAAAGTTATGTGCGCTTTAAAAGTTCATACTACATCTTAACGCTATGGCATCTGCATTATTTTAGGAGCTCATATGTTGCAATTTAATATCATTATGACTTGTGAATTTTAGAAGTCGTATATTGAATTTGGTCAAATGAGCTCTCATTTTCACTTTAGAAGTTACTGCATCTTATCACTATGACATCTGCATTCTACAGTCAATTGACATGCATACTAAATTCATGATGTTACATAATGCATAATGCATGATCAACGGAAGAACACCATACCTATTTTAGGCAGATTAAGCTAATAACACTTAAACATTATTTATTTTGTATAAATATGAATTTGATGAATTTCATGAAGGCAAAAAATCAAAACGTTAAAATATGATTAATCTCATAAAAAAATTTTTACTAAAATGCAAAATTTTATGGGGACGAAGGAGTAGGAGATGGAGATAGATTAAAAAAAATTCACGAAATTAGGGTTTAATATCAGAATCCATGACCTCCCCTGTTAATGGTGGTGAAGAAGTTACAGCGAAAGCAAATTTGTACGATGAAGAAGAAACGAAATTCTTAGATGAGAATGAAGAAGAAAAGAAAATAACAATGAAGAAAAAAATACGAAGAAAATAACAATGAAGAAACAGAGAATGCTTCATTATCGAAGAAAGAAGAAAAGAAAATATGGAGTAACAATGAAGAAGCAGTTAGGGAAAGAGATCGTGTTTTCCAAAATTAAAACAAGCTAAAAAGACTTAAAGACCCCTGAATTGATTAAGTTAAACAACCGCTCCATTGTACTGAACGCACGTAAGATTAAATAAGATGAATGGCTAGGATTAGGTTTGTAGGTTAGCATGTTAAGATGGGTTTGCATTTGATCTCTCATCTATATATATATATATATATATATATCTATATATATATATATATATATATATATATATATATATAAAATGGAGTACAGTAATTACAATCTGTAAGTATGTATGTAAAAATTCACATCTATAGAAAAATCAGATCACAAGCTTGCTCAGGAAGGATTATTAGATGGCGGAACTCCGACAAATTTTTGTAGACGGCGTTCTTCTTCCCCCCTTCCCCGGCGCTTCATCCTCTCCCCATCCCTCTCTTATTTTCGTTGTTTTATTTTTTTTCATTTTGATTGGGGCTCATTTTTGGGCCATTGATAATATATATAGAGGAAAGGGAGCCGGTGATCGACGCACCGTAGAAGAAAGAAGAAAACAGTGAACTGATGCACCGCAGAAGGTACGACTGTACGAGAGAGAGAGAAGGGGGCATTGTGGGTGTATGTGAAGAAATCGGCTAATACAATTCTCCTCAAACTTCATAATATTTACCTAAAAACCTAGTAGTAGTTAGAAGCAGCCACATACCAGCTTCCAACTGTTGGCTTTAAAGTGCTTTTTTTAAGTAGAAGTTAGTGTTTGAAAACACTAATTTCAACTTTTTTTAAGCCAAAAGCTAAAAAATGTTTTTTTAATCTTACGCAAACACTCCCTAAACAGAACTGCATAATAATTGCCAAAATCACAACAAACAGGTTCATTTGAATTTGACATGGTTAAAAATATACTACGTATTACGTACTCGTGTATTAAAAATACGAAACATAGGGTCAAAACCCTACTAAGCATTATGCCTCGGGTCAAAACCCTACGTATTCCCCAGCCCTTCATCCTCTCCCCATCCCTCTCTTATTTTCGTTGTTTTATTTTTTTTTCATTTTGATTGGGGCTCATTTTTGGGCCATTGATAATATATATAAAGGAGGAAAGAAGAAAACGGTGAACTGATGCACCGCAGAAGGTACGAGAGAGAGAAGGGGGCATTTTGGGTGTATGTGAAGAAATCGGCCAATACAATTCTCCTCAAACTTCATAATATTTACCTAAAAACCTAGTAGTAGTTAGAAGCAGCCACATACCAGCTTCCAACTGTTGGCTTTAAAGTGCTTTTTTTAAGTAGAAGTTGGTGTTTGAAAACACTAATTTCAACTTTTTTAAGCCAAAAGATAAAAAGTGTTTTTTTAGGGAGTGTTTGCATTTGATTAAAAAAAAGTGCTTTTCAGCTTTTAGCTTAAAAAAAGTTAAAAAAAGTGTTTTCAAATGACAGTTTCTGCTTAAATTAATCACTTAAAAGCTAAAAGCTGGAAGCAGGTAGAAGGGTGCTTTAAACTGCTTTTCACTTTTTCTATTACACAAAAAGTACTTCTTTTACCAAACACTACCAACTTTTACTTTTTCAGAATCACCTTTTCTTCAAACACTACCAACTTTTACTATTAATCACTTTTCTCAAAATCACTTTATAAAATCACTTCTTTAAAGTTGAAGCAATTGCAAACACTCCCTTAATCTTACGCAAACACTCCCTAAACAGAACTGCATAATAATTGCCAAAATCACAACAAATAGGTTCATTTGAATTTGACATGGTTAAAAATATACTACGTATTACGTACTCGGGTATTAAAAATACGAAACATAGGGTCAAAACCCTACTAGGCATTTATCACGATGGTTACACAAGCCATGCCAAGTTCCTCACTACATGTTACCTCCTGGAATAAAAACTCTACTAAGCATTCATCACAGTCGTTACACAAGCCATGCCAAGTTCTTCATTACATGTTACCTCCTGGAATAAAAACTCTACTAAGCATTCAACCACTAGCCAACATCAAGTTCTTTACTACATGTAACACCCAACATACATGTTCTGGTTACTCCCAATCTGGCGGAATAACTGCTCAAAACAAATACAAGAAAAGACAATAAAAGTATGTGTTAATTAAAAAAAAAAAAGGCACCTACTGGCTGATAGATCATGAAGGTGGATTATGAACTCATTAAACTAGTCTTCTTTTTCTTAGATTTTCTTAGATTAAAACAACTTCTCCCTTCGTCTCAAAATGTTTGGAATGAAGAAGACATGTGTTGCTAAAAGTTATCCAGAACAGAAGAATAATACGAACTGAAATTCATTGGCATGAAAGGATAATAAGATTACTTCGTGAGTCAAGACCTACTAAAAAAGAAAGGATGAAGATAATTTTGGGCTGGAGGAAGTATGTTAAGATGAACTAGGGGTGGGCAAAAATCCCGGTCCCGGTGTCTCGAACCGAAAAACCCCGAAACCGTTCTGAAACTATCCCGATCCATTTGGGATGCATTGTTTTCATCCCAAACCGGTCCCGTACCGATATTAACCGGGACCGGGATAGCTATAGAATATCATGTCCCGTCCCGGTGTCCCATTTGAAAATAGTAGATTATTTTAAATTTCTAATGATATGTAATAGTCAAACTCAATTAAAACTTTCTACCCCTTAGTCTCCCTTGTGTCATGTTATCTTATTTCATGTCTCAATTTGTCTCGTTTATTTTGTTTCTTTTGATTAAATTTCTCTAGTTCTCATTCCGATACTACTACGTAATATATTATTATGTGTGGAATATTATTTATGATGAAATAACTACTAATCCAAAATATAGTGTTGTTATAGATTTAATTAATATTTTTCTAAATAACTAGTAGAAATATATATATATATATATATATATATATATAGAGCCCTTATAGATATGATATTTAATATGATATTGAAAAGTTACAAGTGTACTACAAAGTATAAAATATTTTGCGCTACTATTCTACGAGGAAACATAAGATTAGGGGGAACCAAAAAGTTATAAGACAATAATTAAATATAGTTAATTAGAGGTTGTACTTAACTTTTTAGAGAAGCTAAATTTTCAAAAATAGTTACATCTTTATTTTGATGTTATGCATATTTGTATATCACATTTCACAAATGTATATTTTACGGGACGTCTCGAACCGTCCCGGTTTTTCTCGGTTTGTCCAGGTCCCGTTTTAAATGGGACAACATTGGGATAATGACTTATCCCGAACCGTACCGGACCGTGATTATAATACCGGGTCGGGACCGGGATAAGTCAAATCCCGAACCGTCCCGTCCCGCGCCCACCCCTTAATAAGATCTACTAAAAAGGTGGCTTATTACTAGGTCTATCTCAACGATGACTGAGTGGTAGATCTCTCATATTTGACAAAATGGGAATATTTTTAGTCAACATAAAAGGTCCAACAAAATGGCAAAAAGCATAAAGCAGTGGTTTCTAACAACATTTCAAGGCTAGGCAAATCTCCTTAGAAGATGTTATGTTTGTTTAAACGTAAAAATATAATATATTAGCAATAATTAATATAATTATGATCATTGTTTATAATACACTGAAGTAGCTACTACGTAATAATTTTATTGTTATTATACTATTATCCTTATTAATAATGCTCCATAGCTTGTTCCTATTAGGGGTAATTTGAATTTGCACCCTATTTTATTGTTCAAAGGATGTGAAGGATGTCAATCAAAGGGCACTGATGGAGGACGGGGAAATAAAAGAGAGGTGGAGGTCATACTTTGATATCTTGTTCAACGGGAATAAGGTGCAAGGTATTGATGATCTTACTATACCAGAGTGTATGGTAAATCAGGACTTCGTGAGAAGAATCCAAATAGCAGAAGTTAAAGAGGCTATGAGAAAAATGGGGCGAAAGAAAGCAATGGGCCCAGATGACATACCAATTGAGGCTTGGAGAAGTTTGGGAAAGGCATTGAGTGGCTAACACATTTCTTCAAAGTGATTTGGAGAAACAACAAAATTTCAATGAGTTGGCGACTCTCATTCCCTTATTTAAAAATAAGAGTGATGTACAAGAATGTGCCAACCATCGAGGGATTAAGGTTATGAGTCACACTATAAAACTTTAGGAGCGAGTGGTTGAGCAAGAACTTCGAAAAAGTGTGAAACTTTCGGAGAATCAATTTGGTTTTACGCGTGGACGCTCAACAACTGAGGTCATTCACCTTCTTAATCAAGTTGTGGAGAAGTATAGAAACACTAACCTGCATTTGGTGTTCATTAACTTAGAAAAGGTATATGATAGGGTACCTCGAGAAGTTCTTTGATGGGCCTTAACTAGAAAAGACATATCACGTAAGTATATCAGCATCATCATGGATATGTATGAGGCTTGTACTACGTGTGTCCGTACTAATGTAGGGATGACCGCAAAGTTCTCAATTACTATCGAAGTGCACCAAGGATCGGCTCGGCGTCCTTTCTTATTTGTTATAGTCATGGATGAACTTACGAAGTCAATTCAAGAAGGTATACCGTGGTGCATGATGTTTGCCGACGATATTGTATTGATTGATGAGACACAATCGGGTGTTAAAGCTAAGTTGGAAGTATGACGACAAATTTGGAGATCAAGGGTTTCAGATTAAGTCGAAGCAAGACTGAGTATATGGAGTGCAAGTTTGGTGGAGGTATGAGTAATAGCTAACATGGGATTACTCTTGATGGTAAGGAGATACTGATGTGTGATATGTTTCGTTATTTAGGATCCATAATCCAGAAGGATGGTGAATTAGATCAAGATGTATCCCATAGAATCATAGCTGGGTGGATGAAATGGAAGAGTGCATCAGGATTTCTATGCGATCGAGGTAAGCTGACTAGACTGAAAAGTAGATTTTATCGAACAGCAATTAGGCCTGCATTAATGTATGGCGTAGAGTGTTGGGCGGTGTAACAATGTCACATTCAAAAGATGAGTGTGGCAGAGATTAGTACATTGTGTTGGATGCGTGGAAATACCATAAAAGATCGCTTGAGGAATGAGGTAAGATGCAGGAGTCTCGTTTCAGTGGTTTAGGCATGTGCGTAGAAGACCAAGTGATGCACCTGTTGGACGACACGAGGGGTGGGGAGAACAAACAGAGAGGAGAGGGAAGAGAAGACCCAAAACAGACTTGGATTAGAAGATTCATAACCGATATGCGTCTTCTTGGGTTCGATGAGAGTATGGCTTTGGAGAGGGCAAGTGGATGTCACATATTTGTGTGGACGATTGATATTTTTTCCCTCTCTCGTTTTCTTTTCTTTCCTTTATCGCTTATCTTCTTTGTCTTTTTATGTTCTTATGTTATTATCTTCTTTTTATGTTCTTTTAGCTTTTAATCTTCGTTTTATCTTTTTTCTTCTTATCTGTCTTCTCTTTTTGGCGTCATTATCATGGATCGATTCATGTTAGCCGACCCCAAAATCTATTGGGATTAAGGGTTGGGTGTTGTTGTTTATTGTTCAAATTGGAGTTTGCAACCCGTTTAAAAAAATTGATTTTGCACCCCAACCCCATATGAAAAGACAAAAATGCTCTCGATCAGGAATATGTTGAAGGCCAACAAAATTGTTGAGTGAGGGGCAATTTTGTCTTTTCATATGGGGTTGAGGTGCAAAAACAAAGTTTAAAAACAGGTGCAAAGTCCAATTTGCACAATAAAATGGGGTGCAAACTGAAATTACCTCTTCCTATTATAATCATAATCATAATAATATACGAGTATAAGTTGTTGTTGTTGTTGTTGTTGGTATGATATAAAGAAAAATGATGGAAACAATCTCTCTGTGCTTTAGTGCAGGGGGTGAGACTGCGTACATCCGACCCCCCTTACCCCACCATAGGTGGGAGCCTTTGCGGCAATGGGGTAATGATGATGATGATGATGTTGGTATGATATACTAGGTTAACAAGTATTGATGCTATAGTATACTAATAATAAAATAAAATTGATCAGATGTTAAATAATCCAATGACTGGAACAACTTCTTAGCTGAATTTATTTAGTATAGAAAGATATGATTGATTTTTTTCAATATTTAGAAAGTGAAGGTGCTCTCTCTGCATCAACTAATCTTGAAAATCAATCGATAAATCTGCACATGAAAACTAGAGGTTACTTTCATTTGAAATTTAGTACCTCTATTCCCAGATGCATCCCTGCAAAATCCCAGCTTCAAGTAATGTTTTGACATGTGATCAAACACTTGAGCATAAAAAGTAACCTCTTTGTTGCTTGACATAGTGTCTTCGGCTTTGAAAGTAATATAGTATGTTTGACTAGGTGATGTTGCACTCTTAATAGCATCCACAATTTCCTTGAATTGGAGGGTAGGCTTTGATTCCTGGTCAAATTTAGAGCTGTAAATTTCAAACACGATCACATCAATCTTAATAAAGTCATTATCAAAGACAAGTTACCTCTTCTGCAGTATAGTGAAATAAGGCAAATTTGGCACAAAACTTGACTCTTCGAAATTCTTCTTCATTTGAACAATCTACTGGGTGAAGGGTGCCAGCGAACACAAGCAGCGGTAAAGACTAAGAATAGGCAATCAAAAAGGTAAAGCACACACAACATCAGCATTGCTAGGAAAAAAAGAAGAATTAGATAAGCAAGAAGGTAAAACTAATTCACGTGCTTTGCTTTTTTTCATTTGTTCAAAATGGGGACTGAAGCGCCCCTTAAGTTCAACATCCTTGAACTGGATCACATCGTCTTCTGATTGTACATATTCACGTTCTTTAGAATCACGAAGAAACATCATCCATCTCGGAATGACTGCAAAGGAAAAAAAAGTAGTTACCATTTACTTAAGTATATTACAGCCCATAATAATTGCTAATACAGGTTTCAAGACTCACTAAAAAAGAACCCCAAAACAAATCATACAAAATGAACTAGTAAATCTCCAATTTATATGTCCGATTCATCAACAACATCTAAGCTTATCCAAAAAGAGATTAAAATCAGCCAACTGGAATCAACATATTAAATCAGAGCTTAAAAAAGACGTAGTAAGAAATAAGAGTAGTAATAGTAATCGAACACCATCCAAACCTTAGTCTCAAAAGATTTTGGGGTTGGCTAACATGAATCGATACATGATATTGGAGCCAAAAGGGAAAAAAAGATAAGAACAAAAGAAAAAGATAAGATATGATCAAAATGATAATATAAAATAGAGATAAGATATATGTAGTACTCATGAGTGATAAGATAAAAGCGATTAAATATATATATATATATATATATATATATAAAGACAATTAGAAGGGATAATTAATTAATAAGGAAGCAACCCTATAAGGTAAGATATTTTCTCTATATGACGATGACGATGATGACGATGACCAAGGTTTTGAAAGGCGAAATCGAGCCCCGAGGCGTTTGGCAGTAGCCTCACGAGGCGTAAGCCTCGAGGCGTAACGAGGCGTAAGCCTCAAAATTAATTGTCTAAAGGCGTAAAACATATCAGATAGTATAGATAATCCATAACAAATATGCAACTAAACATAATCACAAGTAAAAACTAAAAAGAACATAACAATAAAATATTCAAGTCAAAATAGCATCAAAATGAAATATAAAAAAACACTAAAATTTCAAGACAAAAAACAAATAATTGATAATCAACTTTAATAAATAAATAAAAATAAAACCAAACTGTAATGAACTTAACTATAATATTTCCAATTAAAATGTAAATCTTAATCCAAGTAAACTTGTAAAGTGCGTAGTATTAAACAATTAAATAAATTATTAAGTTAAATGATATGATATGTTTACAGATTAAAAAATAGGGTTAATAAATACATTAATAACGTTAAATGACAAACATATAAAGATCAGAAAGGATGGACAAAATTTAATACTATTTAGTAACTTTAAATAGCTCAAAATAAAACCTTTAAATAGCTCAAAATAAAACCTTTAAATAACTAAAAAGTTAAATAAAAAAAGTTGTAAATAATAAAGATTACAAGAAAATTATAAAAGTTGGGCGGTGGGATATTTTATAATTGCTTAGACAGTTAGACGAACCGGCGAAGCAACTCCTGAAGTCTGTACCGAGCTTCAGCAGGCTGAGCAGCTCTTCTTCAAGTCGTTTCTAGTTTATTTATATCTAGTCTCGCACTCTAGCAGAAGAGCGAAAGACCAGCGATTGGAATTTGGAAGACCTAAGGCTGTGGCTAAGTAATAAAATATCCAGGTATTTTATATTTTAGGAGAGAAAAACAATTGAGGCCCCCGATAATTTTTTTAAAAAGGCCCAACCTTGCGTAAAATTAGAGGAGAACGCCTCGTGTACGCCTTGCGCCCACAGTCCGCATCAATGCCTCAGCATATTTAAGGCGTAAGCCTTGTTAGCAGAAGGCAAAGCGTAAGCCTTCCACGCTATCACCGACCGCCTTTGCGCCTCTGCGCCTCAAGTGCATAAACGCTAAACGCCTTTTAAAACTATGATATTGACGACGATGATGGTGATGATGATATATAGTAACAGTTGTAACTGATACTCCCTCCGTATCTATTTACTTGACCCACTTTCCCTTTTGGGACGTATCAAAATAAATGTCTCATTCCCTTTTTGGAAATAAACCCACCCAGTACCGCTACAGTACCAAAAACCTCCTACTTAACATATATTTGCCTTAAACTACGTGAAAAAGCATACGGGTCAAGTAATATGATACGAAGGGAGTAAGAATTAATTAATGGTCTTTTATACACCCCCGCAAGTCAGGTATTCAATCACCCTCATGCATCCTTAATGATAATATAGAGTAACACGAGACTTTTCACAGTTCCAAGAAATTCCATATATTTTGGACAAATTTTGGCCAACAATTCATGATGTCAGATTATATTTTATTTTCCCTACGCCAGTCGCTAGGGATTCACGAATCAATACAATTCTACACTTTTCTAATATTGTCTGGTGATTCTGTGAATTCTGTTGATCCCTTTTCTTTTACAACTCTCAGTGAAGACATGATCGTCGAATTGTGCAATCATACTCATAAGATCGCGATTTTTACTATTGTTTTTCTATATTAAAAATAATTGAGAAACACCCCCTAATAAATTGCAAATTCAAAAACTTTAGGGCTTGTTTACTAACAAAGATATTTTCCAGTTTTTCAGAAAACTGGAAAACTAGAAAACAGCAAACAGGAAACGTGTTTACCAAAGAAATTAATGGAAAACTGGAGAAAGGGAAAAAGAAAAACGCGTTTACCAAATCGTTTTCCAAAACGGAAAAAATGAGACATGTCTCTCTTTTCCTTAATGATTTGGAGAAGTGACTTTTACTAGTTTTCTAAATTTGGAAAACGCAGATGCTATAGTGCCACTGCAATGAACTTGCATACTTACACCTAGTGGTGGGTCCGGTCCCGCTCCGATGTCGATTCCATTCCGGTACCCCCCATCTTCGTACCTTACCCCTTACCCCTACCCTACCCACCCAACCCCACCCCGCGTACCCATTTTTCCCTATAATGACCCTACCACATGCCCCTACCTCGGCCCCACCCCGATCCACCCTACCCTAACCGCCACCCCCTACCACCTCGACCCCACCCCGACCCACCCTAACCCCCACCCGTAATTACCCCTTACCCCTTACCACATGCCCCCTACCTCGGCCCCACCCCACCGCCATCCTACCCCCACCCTTCTGCCATCCTACCCCCACTACTAACCTACCCCTCACCCTACCCTTCCCCTACCTCGGCCCCACCCGGATCCCGGGCCCACCCTACCGCCATCCTATCCCAACTTCCTACCCTACCCCTACCTTACCCTAACCCTACCCACTACCCCCACCCTACCCCTTCCTTACCTCGGCCCCACCTTACCGCCATCCTATCCCAACTCCCTACCTTACCCCAACCCTACCCACTACCCCACTCTTACCCCTAACCACGACCCTAACCCACCCACTACCCCCACCCAACACCCTAACCCTAGACCTTACCACCCCACCCCGACCATACCCCTTACCTCACCCCCACCCATAACTTCCCTACCCCGACCCCTACGAGTAGGTATGGGTGGGTATGAAGGGTTGTGGGGGAGTATGGGTAGAGTGTAAGATCGTGGTAAGGGTAGGGGTCAAGGGTGTGGAATTGGAGAACTGAGTGAAAAAATTGATAAACATGTTTTCAAATTTAGAAATGGAAAACAAAAAAATAGAAACAGAAAATTGGAGATAGAAAAACTGAAAAATAAAAACAGAAAATTGGAGAACAGAAAACAGAAATAGAAAACAAGAAAATATCTCTGTTAGTAAACAGGCCCTTAGTTTTTCACTTTTTCTCTGTGATGGTATTTATCGATGCAATAGTGTCTTTTTTTTTATTATTTGTTGGAATTTTTATCGATAGCTTCCTAACAAAATTATTTGTGATATTTCGTAACTCAATGTATTGCTCTTTATGTGTAATGATGTGTTCTACGGAGTAGTATTTTAAAACTTCGAAATTCGAACACATAGACAAAACATATCTATTACTCCCTCCGTCCCATTTAAAGGTTACCGTACACTATTCTCCGATCAACGTGCATTGTTCTTAATCTCTTACTTTATATATCGAAATTTTATGAAATTAAAATTATTTTTTGCAGGTTTTGTAGCGGATTTAATGTAGTTTCTGAATATGTAAATTTTATTTACTAAAAAAAATTCTATTAATGAGAGGGAACAGTTAGGTTTATGGTCAGTCAAACATCGTAAATCGTGTGGGAACCTTAAAGTGGGACGGAGGGAGTATTAGTTATCAAACACAGTTTTATAAAAAAAATGCATATTTATTTACATCAAACAATTGAATATACAAATTGTAATTTAAAAAGCATTTGGTCAGAATTGAACAAAAAAGTATGATCCACACGTATAAACAAATTAAATGATCCAAGAAAAAACGTTACCACAATATGATAAAAGGCAAGAACATTATCTTAGTTTGTTCCTGATAAAAACAGAAAATAATAATCAACGGTAGCAACCGTTGCCAAAAGCTTATAGCTTAAACACACAATTTCTTATTGATAAAGCATAGTTTGCAAGCCCTCTTAGGGGTATAAATAGACCACATGTCCTAATTAAAGAAAAACTCCTATATTACTAATATTAAGAAATAAATTGAAACTAGGAAACTTATTAAAAGCCAATACTAATAAATTAAGAAATAATCTAAATAATTCATCCAGACAGCCTAGCCCACGGATGTGGGCCTCTCCCGTCCCCGCCTGCGATAAACGATCAAGGGCCTGGGGCCCTCTTCTTCGTCGGTCGCACTCGATCGAGTCTGCTCGGTATCAAATTCATCCTCCTTTGGAAGAACCTTGTCCTCAAGGTTTAAATCAGGAAATTGACTCGAGAAGCTTGCTTTGGTCATCCAAGTTGCCTCATCCATAGACTGTCCAGCCCATTTAACCAACAACTCCTCTTCCTTGTCATTTTTCTTTCTCGTAGCTAATATGTCCTCAGGCTCGAACACTGGTCCTACGGGCAGTTCCAAGCTTTCGGGTAACTCACTTTCCACAGGGTGATCACCGACTACCTTCCGCAGCTGAGATACATGGAAGATCGGATGGATACGGCTGGTAGCAGGCAGTGTCAAGCGGTAGGCTGCCTTCCCAATCCGCGCTTCAATTACAAATGGCCCATAGAACCTTGCAGACAGCTTGTTGTATGATTGGCGGAACAGAGTTGTTTGCCGATGAGGCCTGACTTTTAAAAACACTTTTTCTCCCACCTGAAATTCCACGTT